CACGCGCCTCGTGTGACTTAATTACCTAATTGTTTTATTTTAATATATTAAATGATATAAATCTCTTTGCTGATAATGCGCACATTAAAAATAGAACACTTGAAATTTTTCAAAAATTAGTTGTAAATATAGGACTGAGTAGCCGATTTGTACCTAATGGTAATGCATAAGCTTTCTATTATCTGAAAACGTAGCAGAATATGAGGCTTGGCTTTTAGATTTTCTAGTCAATCTTGTGTTGTTTCATATTATGCAAGCAATCTGTGTAACTAAAGTGCACAAGTTCTCGATGCCTGTTTAGGTTTTATAAAAAAAAGGTCAAAAGAAAAAGAAAAAGCCGCGAACGGAACAAAAATCGCGGCGGTTGTGGGAGAGAAACCCAGACACACGCGAACTAGGTAGGTATACGTATTGCAAAATGCAAAAATGACATGAGTATCAAGCAATATACAAAGTAGGTTACGCTGGTAGCGTAACCGGTGACACGAACGAATTATTGTGCACGCTATGGAAACGAGAGCATTGCCTATAACTTGCACTTATCACTTTTAAAGAATTACCCTTCAACCTAATGACTGACATTTATAACTAATTGAGTCAATGTATAAGTGTATGTTAAGTTAATGAATGTTCTTACTTGTTTGTACGATTGGTTGAACTCTATAACAGCGAAAAATACGACATTCTACACCAACAGTAGCTCCTAATGCGCGAGAGACATGTTTTCAGAATTAGTAATAGATAAACACGCATTGTGCCGATAATGAGTCTCAGGGGAAATAGTTTAAAAATACTAAAAGTGAGACAAAAGTGAGGCGGATGTATATATATATATATATATATATATGTATTAGGTACTTCTATTTACATATTAATTTAGACGGTATACGTATACATGGTAATAGTAAATATATACCTATTTAAATAATGCTTTTGTTTGTATTGTATGAAAGTAAATAAAAGTTAAACAAAAATATTGGTATGCAAGGTAAGAAAAAGTACGGGAAGAGCGAATATAAAAGTAATAGATGAAAAATTAGAAGAAGTGGCTGATTTTCGTTATCTAGGAAGTCAGATAAATCAGGATGAAAGAAGGAGTAGAGATATAAACTAGAGGATAGCACAGAGTTGAGCTGTCTTCAATAAAAAGAAGTAGTTTTTAAGCTCGCGAACGGTTAATTTAGAAATTCTAAATAGATTATTAAATGTATGTATGCTTGGAATGCAGCGCTGTACGGGTGCGAAACATGGACGGTGGGCGCCACGTAAAAGAAATGGTTAGAAGCGTTCGAAATATGATGTTACACGCGAATGATGAGGATACCGTAGATAGAGAAGGTATTAGAAAGAATAGGGGATAGACGGTTCTATGGAAGTCAATAAGAAATAGATAGGTTATTGGTAGGGAACCTTCTCAGACATGAAGGTCTAGTTAAAGACACATTAGAAGCAGAAACAGGATTTACGAGAAGATGAAGACCTAGATTAGTGTTGTGTACTCGAAAAAACTACCCGTCCAATCTCGTACATCAGTTCGGACGTAGTGAAAATGCAGCACTTCAACAACAAGACAAATTTATTTCACAATTAACAAAAATATTATTAGTAAAGGTAAAGGTCTGAGTCAATCAACTGCCGATTTAAGACTACTATTTTCTGAACAGCGCAACAGCGTTTTGGTATATTTAATATTGAAGACATAAGAAAGCTAACTTTATAAACCGTATAACGATATGATTCATAATACAGTAGTCGAACACATGAAACATAAAACTATCTAAAAGAATGAAAACAATTTAGCATTTCCGCAACAATTAGATTACCGTTCATAAGTAGTCAAAGATGTGGGATGTCCTAGTTTTAGTGAAATGCGAAGATTATCTCAGGATAGGAAAGAGTGGAGGTGCGTGTCCAAACAGTCTTAGGACGGACGACCTTATGACGATGATGAATTATTTCTATGGTGGAAACAATTAATAATGTCAGAAAATTATGTGCTACCCACTACAAATGTTTAAAATTATTTTTGTATATTAACAAGCGAATAGATACTTTTTTACCATTATTTTAGTAAATTCCAATGTTTTTTACACCTACATACATTAAAAAAAAACGGAAAAAAACTCACTCATATTGCTAACAAATTTAATACCAATCATTTTTTTACAGATTGTAAACTAGTATGAGTATTAACTAAAGGAACAGATTTTTGGGTCCTGTATGACATTAATCTGTTTTATTCCACCAAGACCGTTAGCTCGAAGAATTGCTTGAATTGTGGCATTTTGGGCTGGCGTCAGATCTCTCCTCCGGCTCTTGACATACAGAAATTCTAAAAAAAATTGAATACTTAAGATATTAAATTGTAACGTACATCTAAATGCAATATTTAAAATTGCAAGTTAACATCTACCATTCGGTTAGTACGTCAAATGGCACTTTTAAATATCTAAGATACAATAATGAAAGTCTGAATTAGCCTTGCAAGTCCAATACACATATAGGTACTTATATAGGTACTTATTCTTACCGCTTTTGTTTGCACTATCTAGATTGATGCACCTGTAATCAACGGTGTAGTTGTCATAGTCAATTCCAAGTGTCCTAAATATTAATGGATCGACAACGTCGGGGTAAACCAGACTTAGAATCCCTTCTCTATTATTCTCCGGTATCCACGTTAGTTCCCCTTCCCTGTTAAACCATATACCAGTGGTTAAATTTTTTTGTATGTAAACCAAATCCATGGTGTTCTTACTCGTTGCGGTAAAATATGCGATCTGGCAATGGATGGGGTTGTACGATATTACGGGGTACCATGCCTTACCGGTGCCATACTTTAAAAAAAAAATTGNATAATCAATTTTTTACAGATTGTAAACTAGTATGAGTATTAACTAAAGGAACAGATTTTTGGGTCCTGTATGACATTAATCTGTTTTATTCCACCAAGACCGTTAGCTCGAAGAATTGCTTGAATTGTGGCATTTTGGGCTGGCGTCAGATCTCTCCTCCGGCTCTTGACATACAGAAATTCTAAAAAAAATTGAATACTTAAGATATTAAATTGTAACGTACATCTAAATGCAATATTTAAAATTGCAAGTTAACATCTACCATTCGGTTAGTACGTCAAATGGCACTTTTAAATATCTAAGATACAATAATGAAAGTCTGAATTAGCCTTGCAAGTCCAATACACATATAGGTACTTATATAGGTACTTATTCTTACCGCTTTTGTTTGCACTATCTAGATTGATGCACCTGTAATCAACGGTGTAGTTGTCATAGTCAATTCCAAGTGTCCTAAATATTAATGGATCGACAACGTCGGGGTAAACCAGACTTAGAATCCCTTCTCTATTATTCTCCGGTATCCACGTTAGTTCCCCTTCCCTGTTAAACCATATACCAGTGGTTAAATTTTTTTGTATGTAAACCAAATCCATGGTGTTCTTACTCGTTGCGGTAAAATATGCGATCTGGCAATGGATGGGGTTGTACGATATTACGGGGTACCATGCCTTACCGGTGCCATACTTTAAAAAAAAAATTGATTAAGCAGGTAAAAGTTTTGTTTTTGCAGTGAAACTTCTTTATCGACCGTAGGAAGGAAATTTACTAGCTATTAACCGAAAAGAGTAACGTCCCGCGTCACTGCACTACACGTCACAGCGTCACGCGCCACGTGTGACCCCTGGTGGATACGTCTAAAAGTAGTCATTTTAACAGACTTCAGAAGGTAATCTGTATAATGCAAGCGTAAAAGTTTTTGACAAAACTAAACCAATATTCCTCATTCGTCCGCTCGAAATAAATTTGTATTTTTCTGGTGTTTAGTAATTAGATAGTTCAATCGTTTAATTAAAAAAAACAGGTGCAACTCAGTACACCTGAAAGAAGTGAAACTTGTTTGGCGATCTCTACACCTTTATAACGAATAAGTAATGATTGGTGAAAGAAAGAGAGAGTAAGTACGAGAATTTTTAGGACTTATGTTTTCCAACATATTTTATCTTTAGTCCACCTAAGGAGTATTATTTTAATACGTTTTTATGCAATTCATAACAAAAAAAATGGTACAATTTGGTACACGTTGCAAAACGTGTCGTTTCATGGCCTTGAGATTTTACTCTCATCGAGCCCAAAGAAGTTTCACTTCTTACGGGTGTACTCTAATACATGCTCACCCCTTTTTTTTAATTGTAAACTATAGTTAACTTACTCGCTCCAAATCAAAATTTTGCACCGGTCTTAAATTAACTCTGTCACTACACTGGCCTGGCGATGTGTATTCCGAATAAGTAAATGAAATTAAAGCAAGAACAACAATCGCTATAAGTTGACGAAACATTTTTAGTCCTCTTAACTTGTAATTAACTGCCTAACTAAAGTAAATATATATTTGTACCTACATGAAACAAAACTGAATTGAATGGATAAAAAAAATAGATGTTATTGTCTCCCATTCGGTGATAAAAGTAATCTTATAGCAATTGTATACTACAATAAAAAACTGTACATATATTATTTACGTATTGTTCGGTTCGCGGTAATACTTGATATATTGAAGTATTCACACGTGAAAGCACTCATAGGTGTCGTTGTTTTTAATTTTATTGACTTTTCGACATTGTGCTGTAATGTTAGTCGAAAAAAAAAAAACAAATACAATGCTTGAAGATAATCGAGGATTTGCATGAAATACTAGGGTCTACCAGAAAGCATTTTACCTAATCCATTTGAGATGTTTAATTTATAAAGGCCTTATTCTATTAAAAATATTTTGATGCATTTTTTTAATTACTGTAGGTACATATGTAGGTCGCAATTGTGAGAAATTTAGGCCCTAAAAAATGTTACTTAGGCCTTATCTTATCATTAAAGGGTGTATGAACCAAAAAACAACTTGAATTAGAAAAACAGAGAAAAGATTATAACAACAGTCACAGTCGCACACTGCTATATATATTAATACCTAACAAAGACACGACCCACTCTAAGAAACACTACAGATTACAGGTTCACTGAATTTAACACGTGTTTATTGCAAATCAGAACATCGCCCCTGTTTGTTTTGTCGGATCGTTAGCTTATTCATTGTTTACTATCAAAAGTCTCTTACAATTTATTTTTTGTTATTGAATTGTCTGTTAAGATGGAGAATTGCTGTGTTATGAGTTGTAACAACAGCCGTCTAGAGAACTTAATTAAGTAGGAACAGTTAAACTGTTTTTCTTGTGATTCGGTTTAAACCTGTTGGAAAGAAAGAAATAAATAAATGTATAAACATGAAAATAAATAAAGTAAAACAAAAATACTGGTATGCAAGGGAAGAGAAAGTTCAAATAAGAGCGATATAAAGATAGAAGACGAAAAATTACAAGAAGTGGCTGATTTTAAGGATCTAGGAAGTCAGATAAGTCAGAACGGAAGAAGTAGTAGAAATATTAAGCAGAGGATAGTGCAGGATTCAGTCGCCTTCAATAAAAAGAAGTCACTTATATGCTCGTGAACATTTAACTTAGAAATTCTAAAAATATTGTTAAAGGTATAAGTATATTCGGAGCACGGCGATGTACGGGTGCAAAACATGAACGGTGGGCGTGGCTGAAAAGAAAAGATTAGAACCGTTCGAAATGTGACAGGCGAATGATGAAGATACTGTGGATAGAAAAGGTTAGAAATGAAGAGGTATTAGAAAGAATAGGAGAATAGAGGACTCTATGGAAGTCAATAAGAAATAGGCGAGATAGGTTAATAGGACACCTTCTGAGGCATGAAGATCTAGGCAGAGCCATATTAGAAGCAGAAACGGAATTTATAAGGGGTAGAGGTAAACCTAGATTAGACTACTGTTCGCAGATAGTTAAGAATGTGGGTTGTTCTAGTTTTGGGGAAATGCGAAGATTGGCTCAGAATAGGAAAGAGTGGAGGTGCGTGTCCAACCAGCCTTAGGACTGACGACCTTATGATGATGATGATGATGCGCCTGCTTGTGCCTAACTCATGCATATACAACTTTTTTTTGCTGCATCATAAAGGAATTTTTCTTCGGGGGCTCTTTTTCCCTGAAGGTATCATTCATTTTTAAAAAGTTTTAATATTTATGCCTCAAATAGGCATTAAAGTATACGAATTACGTTCTCTGATATTGAGCTTATAGTTTGACAAGTTTAATTAATCATTAAATTACGTTTTGCGAATTCAACCTTTATTTTTCTAGGACACTTAAGTGTTTTAGAGTTTTGATGAGTGGGTGATAAATATAGTACTGTTCAGCCCTTAATAATTCGAAACCTTTGATAGGCTTATTCATAAAGTCACATTAAAGTAATATTAATCAAAGCTTTGCTAATAGACAAACAGAAACATACGAGGTGTGGCAATTAAGTTCGAGGAAAAATGAATAGAACACAAGCTAATTAATTTTTGTTACATATTTTAATATCCGTCTTCACAATAGTCCCCCCCCCCCC